TTTCAGCAGCGCCATCTCTAAAACGGCGATACAGTCACTACCCATCATTTACATTTCACCGTGACATGGACAAAAATGTAACATCAGCTTACCTCATGACACGAATCCAGACTCTCCTTTGGGAAACATTGGCCGGGAAACGATAGAACGAGCACGTTCCATGCGAAGACATTTGGCTGCAACCCGGAGCAAAGCAACAAACCATTGCGTAGCTAACTAGTAGCGCTAGCTTTAGCTAACGTTAGTTAACGAAACGAACTGCCGAGTAAAATTGGAAAACGCTGGTAATTAATTGTTCTATAATTTGTAAAACTACGGTGTTAAAAAAGACAATTTCAAAAATACAGATTCTAATGGTCAGATATATATATACAGATACTAAAGATATGCATGTACTTGCTTTCAAGCAGAACACAGGGGAAAACAAACTTAGCGGGAGTGTTTACGTGTTCGGCGTAATGACGTACAACGGCCTCGACAATTTCTGTAGTCCTATTCAGCCACTCGGTAACAACCATCGTTTTTCAGACACGTAAACTCTTCAAAAATCCCCAGTGGGGTCACTGCTGATGTATTTAATGTCGTAGAACAAAACGTCAATTACCTCTTAAATTTGTGTCAACCACAGACCTTATTTCGAGCTATTTTCCAAAACCCTATGGAAAAAATGCATTGCTTTTTGAGGAAGGAACCGGAAGTGCTAAAAATGCTAACTTACTTCCGGGTTTTACGACGCGTCACTGCGGCTCTCTATATGTACAATCCCTTATCATTTATTATTTGTGTTGATCCAAGCAGAGTGACACTGTGAGCAGGAAGTCAGTTTGGAGCAATTGAGGAAACAAAATAATAGGGAGGATCACACAGTGGCACATATCTCTCCATTCACTTTCTGCTTTATCTCTTAATGGAAACAAAAATATCCCTGTTCTAAAAGGAGGAGGAGCAAGATTGTGAATCATTTCAACCATCAGTCATGAATCAGAGTAATATAAGAAGTTATAAAAATAGAGGAATATTCCAGGATATCACAGTGCCGATAATCCTTTTTCATCTTGCACTTTTAGGATTTATTTTTAGAGTGAGTGAGTTTAAGTAAATCCCCCAGCAGTCAGTTCGGGGTTGTGCCCTGTGAAGCCACTAGGTGTCCCACAAACACCCAGCAGCTGTGTGTGCTGATAGAGTCCTCACCAGCACACTCTGTCTTCATCTGTTAGACCTCCTCACACACCCGGTTTACCGGCTAATAGGCGCGCGCTGCAGCTGAATATGAATCGCTCGCTATAATAAATTAGTACCAGTTTGGTGCCGCGGTGCCTCGAGGAAAAAATAATCAGGTGCTGAGATCCGTGCGTCACAGGGACCTCGGAGGCGGTGTGTTTGCTGTGCTGCCTCAGACCGTGAAGGGGTCATTAAGTGCGCCCACCGATCACCGATCAGCGCCTTAATTGAATAAAAAAACGCGCCGATTGCGTGCCAATCCACCCGGATGACCTCCGGAGTGACGGAGGGGACAGTGCGGGGGGAGTCAGCACCGGAGGAGATGCGCATATCTGCAGGTGCTCTAGCGCTGTCGTAAAACGGGAGTCGGCGGCGAGGCAGCGATAATCAGAGCGATGCCAGGGGTAACCAAGTACAATTTAGTGGATGACGCGCAAGATTTGAGGATCCCCATGCACAACGACGAGGTGTTCAAGCATGGGGTGTGCTTCGAGGCAAAGGTAAGGAGATCTGCAACATATACTTTCTGTCTGTGTGTGTGTGTGTGTGTGTGCGTTGAGATGACATCCCACTGATACTGAGTCAATGATATTTCCATCCAAGGGTTTATTCTGTGTTCAAAAGTACATTATAATAATAATTGAGATATGTTATCCACTTTGTGTGACTTTGAAATGTTTGCCATTGATTTTAATTCACCATATCTGCATAGAGATACAGCTGATATAGCTTGATGTATGCTGACATCATTTATTTCTCTGATTCATTTTTGGGGAAAAACCATGAGTTTTTTATTTTTGTTATTAGTCTGTCGATTATTTTCTAGATTAACCGATTAGATGTTGAGACAAACTTATTTTTTATTTAATAACTTATTTACATTTCAGCATTGGGGCTGCAAATAAAGTTTATTTTATTGTTTGTATGACCATTTGTCTAACAATTATTGTCTCGATTAATCGATTAGATGTTGGCTTAAAATATTTATAATGTTTTACCTTGCTTGCATTGAGATGTGTTTCCTTAGCTGATGACTTGATGTCCGAGGCATTATTCATTCCCCCCTTTTTTAGACAAATCCATAAGTTCACAACCGGAGATGCAAATAAAGTGTATCTATTGTTTTTTGACTATTAGTCTGACGATTATTCTCTCGATTAATCGATTGAATGTTGGGCCCAATTTAGATTTGTTTAATCTTTTTTACCTTGCTTGCATTGAGATGTGGTTCTTTCTTTGTATATTGATGTATACTGACTGTTTATTTCCCTTATATATTGAAAAACCTATAACTGGAGAACTGGGGCTGCAGTAAATTGAATATCTTTTGATCTGTTGACAAAATAAGACATTTGAAGACATGTATTCTTTTCGGAAAACTTACTGACGTTTTTCCACCATCTTTCTGACTTTTTATAGGCCAAATCAATGATTCATCGAGAAAGTAATCAATAGGATATTCAACAATAACATGAATAGCTAGTTGCAGCCTTAAGGATTATTAAAGAGAATTATGAACAAGCAGTCAACAATGGTCATCACCAATCTGCCAGCCCAGCACCCCCCTGTAATCACTGCCATTAATTCCTTCAAACTACCAATCCTAAAACCTCTTTCTTACACTCTTCAGTACATTGGCAGTCTAGAGGTGGGTCGCCCCGGCAGCCGGATGGAGATCGTCGCTGCGATGAGGAGAATCAGAGTAAGAAATATATGTGACTCTGAACCCCGCCACTGATCTTGACCCTTGTCAAGCAGTCCCAACACATTAGGATTGATGCCGGTGCACTTCAACATCCTCTTTACATACAAAACAACAGTTTGCGTACAACTCCTCACTCTGCAGATTCAGTGTGCTGTCAGGAGCGGTTTAAATCACGGCAGAATTTTCAGGGATTTTATGTCTGAGGAGAGGTAAAGCGTGCAGGTTTATATGTGGTACTGTTCAAGGGAAAAAACAACAGCTCTCGAGCCCTTCTTGTAGGCCAGACAAGGCCACGTATTACACATCATGTTTCAGAGGAGGGGATTTAGCTGCGTGTCAGCTGTTGGATCTAATCCAACACTAGAGTAATTGAGTCGGTCAGAGGTCGCTCCCAACCCCAGTGACACCCCGGACGCACTTAATCCTGATCCCTCGTGTACAGTGCAGTATAATGGCCATTTGATTGTACCCGGAAAGATTTAGAGAAGCTATAATGCTTCATTTCCTGACTCAAAAGCAGATTTCCGGATTGGAATCTCGAAGATTTCTAAATGTCAGATTTTTATCAAATTTCTCATAAAGAAGCTTTTGATACAAATGTGGAAAGAAAAACCACTAATTAAATGAATTAACTAGTAATACTCTCTGCTTCTTGGGAGACAAACTAATATTCAAAGCTAACTAACTCACAGCAGCTTAGAGGGAGAATGACAGGTGAGTTGTCACTACCTGTAGAGCATTAGTTGCGCTTGGGGGCTGAGGATGATGCGTGAAAATGTAACATGAACACCTTCTTCGCAGCATCCGGACTAAAACCACCAGATTCAGAGACAGTTTCATACCACAGGCAATAAGACTGCTAAACAACTGAACTGCTGAAACAACATCTGCTAAACACCTGAACTGTTGAAACAACATCTGCTAAATACCTGAACTGTTGAAACAACATCCATAACATTCATCTGCTACTTATTGGGGGAGACACGTCAACAGTTGAAATGTCAAACTCACATTTCCTGCATTTTAGGGACATTTTTATTGCGGAACTGTCTTTTTCTATTTAAACCTAAACAAAGCATGCGCTGGGAGATAATTACAAATAAATGACTGAGAATGTAATGCATTAAGGCTCTCTGGCATTCTGTATTACTTTCAAATGATTTTCAATTACTCACCTGTAGATGAATTTTTCACATTTCATGCTTTCCTGCCAGAACCAAGTCGAAGCGATTCACTCCTTTGTGAATGTCGGTGTAATGTTTTGGGGAGGTATTGCTTTAATTGTCCCTGCAGTATAGATCCTATTCACGTCATGATTCAAAATGTATACAAATTCATTTAAAGACCACTGGACTTAGAAAAGAAAAGGAATATAACAAGAATAAAGTTGTTTAATGAGAATAATGTCCTACATTGTATACCTAACCTTACCTTAGCTTATCTTACTAGATATTGACAAACATCAGTGGTTGAATTTACATTTTTTTATCAAAATTATTCATTTTTTTGTAATTTCACTACCTCTCATTATTGTCCTTATCGGCATTACCAAATTCTGCGCCTTTTCTTTACTTTCTGTGACATGTTATTTTGAAATGTCAATATACAAATGAAAAGAGAGTTCCAAGACGGCAGCAGGCTGTTATTTTTACACAAACCAAAGAAAGATGACATAGAATATCCAATACCGAGCGGGCGGCAGTTCTTTTCAGACAAATTTCACAGAACTCGACTTGATCAATTAATCATCTGATGTCGGACGCTGTGTTTTGAAAGCATGGCGCGTTATTTCGCAAAAATCCATGTGGTTCTTAGATCACTGGGCCCTTATATGTTTGAGTCTGAGCTTGCAGAGGAGTTTGCGCTCTAGCATTAATCAAGGAGAGGGATGAAAGTGTCCCACACATTCTGCCTCCCTCTGGGAACGCTGCCTTTGAAAGCTTAAACCGCTCCCAGGGACAAGAATCTGACAGTGTTTACTCAATCTCACATTTCCCAGAAGAAGAAGATTGTCAAAAAATATCTTCCTCTCTGCATGATCTCTTCCCCTCTGTTCCAATATAGCCTTTATCTTGTGTAAAGAGCTTTACCTTCAGCGGGCCTGTGTGTCACACCTTGTATAGTATTCAATTCCAAACTGGAATGTTAATTTAAATGTCGTTTTTCCTTTGCAGTATGAATTCAAACTGAAGAATATAAAGAAAAAGAAGGTCAACATTGTCGTGTCCACTGATTATGTCAAAGTCATCTTGCGCAAAAAGAGGAAGGTCAGTCTTGTGACTTTTAAATTACTCCTTTTCGTTTTTTAGAAAATATTCGTTTTTTAACCGTCAATGTGTTTTTGTGTTGGGACAGAGAAAAGGGTGGTCATGGGATGAGAATACAGTCATGGTGACACAGGATCCCATCTACAGGTAGGTGTTCAAATCAAATAAAAAAAACTAAGCATTTTGTAACCAACTCATTGAAATGTTGTCCGTCATCTTGCCTTTTAACAGGATCTTCTATGTCTCACATGACGCCCAAGACTTGAAGATCTTCAGTTATATCGCCAGAGAAGGACAGAGCAACATTTTCCGCTGCAATGTGTTCAAGTCAAAGAGGAAAGTAAGTGTAACTGTTCAATCAATTGATGCTTCGAGTATTTGTCTGTGTAGCTGAAGCTTATGGAGTTTCTAGCCGATTTATTTTTTGATGGTGTGGTCCAGTGTACAAGTCTAAACCGGTTTTGATTTGGCTCCGGTCAGTGGTTCGATCCCTAGCCTTGCAGCCAAGATATCAAAGTGTCCTTGAGCAAAACACAGAACCCTGAATTGGCAAACGGTTTAGAGGTGCTTCGTACGCCAATGTAGTGTAATGTAAGAACTGACATTGGTCATTATGACACGTTCTTTCAAATTCATAATTTGCCTCCAATCATAAACCTTTGACGATGGAGTTACGGTGCTAAATTCATCTTGTATTGCATTATAGCCGATATATTATGTACTCTAATCCATTGTGCAACGCAAGGACAACTCCGCCATGGATAATGGTGCGTTCAAATGACCTCTTTCACATTTTTTTCAGAGTTGAAAGTTGTATCTCCAACTTGTTTATGAGATCTAAGTTGTGCTTTGGTAACAACATTGGCGTTCTTCTAACTTTGGTTAGTTTATTATATGGACTTCTGACTTCGTTTTTTGTATTAGCTTTAAATCGTACTGTTGAAACAACATGGACGCTACAAAGATGACATGTGGTATTAATTGCATTGAACCTGTAAACATACCATTGATATCTATTTTTCGAGTTGTCGTTCTGACTTAAATCTTTAGCAACCAATTTGTTCACGATCGTTCCTACACCATGAGTACTGCACTAATCTGGCAATGTTAACAAAAAGTAACCCATACATTGTGAATCCTCCCTGTGATTTGGAGCCACTCCAAAATGTAATGGGTTCTTCCTCAGCCCATGCTTCACCCTTGCTCCAACTGTCACAAAAATCAGAACATTAGTTATTCTCTAATCCTGCTGACTGACAGACAGCAGTTGGCTAATGGAGCCATGTTGAGAACCATGAGCATGCAACCCTGGCCCAGAGTCTTTCTCCTAGTTATGGTCTGCGTGGCCAATAGCCCCTTTATATTATAACTAGTTAGCTAAGGGCATACTTGTAGTAGGGTTTGTCACATTTTGGAAAAGCTAAAGGTCTCACACTACTACCATTCTTTGTACTAAGCTAAGCTAACCCGTTTTTTTTTTGGTACAGAAACCATAAAGGTGTCAAATGTTGTCCTGTAACTCATCAAGAAATCTAAATAATATTTTAAATGTCAAACTATTCCTTTAAAATTTGACGTATTCAGGGGGAAGGAAGTTGGCCGTGGAAGTTGGGAAGTATTAAGAGATGAACAAACACATTGTTGGTTTTGGTATTATCATGGATTTTGTTGAAAGTGCAGAAGATCTCCAGCTTTATCCTTCCAGTATACAAAGCAAGTCAACCATTCCTTTTTGTTTTCAGCACTGTGCTGTGCGCATAACTGCTAATGATGACATTATGGCTGTGTCTGGGTGATGTATTGTCCTCTTGCACCCCGCATTAATCTGACTCATAGACCCCTCATGTGCTTAAATGCTTATGAATGTGCACATATGGGCATATCGAGCTGACGTAAAAGACAGAGCATCAGTTAGGTGAGGTGGACTCCATTACCCTCACCATGGATACCAGACTGACAGTGACTTAGTGAAGCTGAATACTAATCATTCTGGTGGGAAGAGAAAAGAACAGGGGCTGTTTACACTCGGTGCTTGGAGACATTTTCACCAATGCCGAACAAACACCCACTACAGCGTCAGGGACACGGTAAGTGGTGCCTGACTACAGCCCCGGGGGCCATGGAGCCTTATCTGGGTGCACCAAGCATGTGCGCTTCAAGTAGGAGAAGATGGACCCGCTGATAGGAGGAGATTTGATTTATTTTCGTCACAGCTGGGCTCAGATGTCAGAGACTTTTGATTTTGGCCTTGGGAGAGAAACATCAGAAACTGTATATCGTGAATACTACCCTAGCCCCCAATAAGTGAGCCTGGCTTTATAGGAAATGTTCGAAAGATTCCTTCCCATTGGCTTCCATTGAAAAGAGATGTATGTAAATCAGCAGATCTTTTCCTATTTTCTTTGCGAATTTAACGACCCAGTAAGGACTCTTGAGAAGTCCTTTGGTGCTAAAATTTAGGAAATCCCTAACTACAAATCCGGATTAATTTTCCCTCTGCATCCATGGAGCTACCTAAAGTGCTTCCTAAAGAAATAAACACAAGATTGTTCTTTTTCAGTCTGGGGTCTTAAAGAAACAGCCGCTAAAACTAAGCGTTTCAGGCAAAAGGTGAATACAGGTATATTCAGACCGACAATATGAAACACATTCTTTTTTAAACAAAGCATATAAACATGTTGTAGTAGAAACCCAAAAGAATACATGAACCTGAAAATAAGCATGATATGTCCCCTTTAAAGAAACAGTTTGCTAATTTTTGAGTTATTATAAATGAGAAGTTTTGTCAGAAACAGGTGTATCGCCAAGTAGGTTTACACATACAAGGAATTTGTATAATGGGGCAAACGTAAAAATAATAGAAGAATGAAATTGTTAACAGAGGGACAAAGGAACAAATATAAAACATTTTTGAACAATATTTTTAAATGCATTATACAATAAAAAAACGTTAACCTTAAAAATATAAATATAAAAAATGTACAACCAAGTAAGTACAACAAGAATATAATATATATATATATATATATGTGCACTATAACATAATTTAAAGTGAAAGAGCTGTTTTTCTTCACTTTTTAACAGCATTGTGTATAAATGTACAAACAATCCGGGGTATACAGGGACTGCAAACAAAATGTAATTCTATGGAGCCTACTTTAATTCCATAAATCAATTTCATGACTCTATTGCGGTGTTATTTTTCACGCCTTTTCACTTGATTGAACTGCTTTCAGGCTTGACTTTCCTTGACTTATTGACTGAATGCCTCAGGCAGGATCGGCCTCCAGAGGCAGACGACAATAACACGTTTATTTCAACCCTCGGTTCTGCCACTATTCAATGTAGAAAACACAAAAAAAGCACCTTCAGTGGGCAGGAGGGAGGACAGGTTTAATTCCAGTGGATTTAGGAGGCTGCCACATGACTGCATATTAGGGCTTTAGAAAAATAAAGAAAATAACTGCAACTTTCTCAAAAAGCCGCATTGAATTTTATTTCCTGTGTGTTCAACTTGGGAAACACTGATAATAACCTCTTTTGAGCCTGTACAATCAATTGTTTACATTATGTGATAACAATATTGATTACCTACTGCATAGAGGACGTTTAAAAGCAATAGGGCTCCAACTTACAATTATTTTTATTATTAAATTCATGTCTACAATTCCATACAAGTTCAAGGTGCAACATCATAATAGCGTATGACCAACAGGCCCATATTGATTTATTCTCACGTTAGACAAAGTAAGGCAGCGCATATTTGCAGTAGAGAAGCTGAAACTAGTTAAAGTCTCTAATTAATCATCAAAATTATCCGTCAATCAACCATTCCATTAAGCTCTAAAATACATTAAGACCCAGTTCTAACAATTAAAAAGGAATGAGGAAGTTGTAAAATTTGCTAAGCCAACTTATTTTCCCTCTACATTCGTTTCCAGTTCTCTTAATACACCCATGGACCTACCAACGAAAGTGCACTACATTATTTCTTGCAAGCCAATCAGAGCAGACTGGGGTTTTCCGGGAGGCACACTTAAAGGGAGTTGAGTTACTGTAAATTAAACTTTTCCTTTTTATTGACCTGATGACTGACTCACGTACTGAGCCTCCTGAAATAACAAAACACTTTATTTTACTTCCTATGCATTCAAGTCTACTTGCCTCTGAAATCGACCAATCCTTCACTATGACAGGCGAATGTGTGCAGAGCAGATGTACTGTATAGACAAGGACGGGCAGGTGAAGCTCTGTGATATCTTCTGACTTTAAATTGGTCTCTATCTCCCCTCATGATTCCCCCTGCCTTCATTTCCACTTGCTCCCATTTTCATCCTTCTTCTATTTCTCATCTTCTTTCTATTTACGTGTGCTCCAACACACACATGTTCATTCTAACCACTTCCTGTGCAACTCTTCTGGCACCTCATTTCTGACTCTATCCTTACTGTGCCTCGCAGCTGCTTAACCCGCCTCTGCTCTCAACACACACACACACACACACACACACACACACACACACACACACACACACACACACACACACACACACACACACACACACACACACACACACACAGAGACACACGCACACACACACAGACACACACACACACACACACACACACACACACACACACACACACTATCTCACTGTGTCCTCTCTTCCAGTCCCAGGCCATGAGGATCGTGCGCACCGTGGGTCAGGCGTTCGATGTGTGTCACCAGCTGACCCAGCAGCAGAAAAGCGATGACCAGGATGATGAGGAGGGCAAGGCGGAGGAGTCTGAGGCGTTGCCAGGTGACTCACATGCACACAAAATTGCATCAACAAATACTTTTCCGTCGTTCTCTTTCTGTCCCACACAGAAACTCAATCTCCTTTCTACTCCTCATACACTCCAGGCCTTCTCTTCCTCTCTATCCTCCTCCTCCTCCCCATACCTCTTGGAGAAAAGATGTCATTATCCACCACTGCTGATTTTTTTTTCTTTCAGCATCCACTCTGGCTGCAGATGTGTTTTAGTAAATCTGGCCAGCCATTGATCAAAGCCCTTGCTTGTGTGTGGGCTTCTGCCAGCTCTTCGCCGGCTGCTGCTGCGGCTGCTGTCATTGCCGCTAGATATATTGCTTACTATAAAGCTCAAAACTGCATTAAAGCTTCCCCTTTATATGTATCTGGTCTCTCTGCAGCAAAGAAGAGGTTTGCATTGTCGGAGGAGACCGACCTTGAAGCCACTACAGAGGAGAGCATTGAATGTGTCTCCTCGTCAGACCTGGAGAAGAGCAAAAAGGACGAGGCCCTCAGTAATGATGGGAAGGTAAAGTGCAGAAGTCCTTGATCATGTCATACAAAGCCCTGCAATTTATCACTCCATTAGAAACACGGGAGGTCATGTAAAACCTGCAGAGGGGAAGACAAGCCTGCAATGTGTCATCTACTCATATGGTTCCACTCTCTGTGAAACAGCAGCTAACGTGTAGCACATTCACATCAACAATTATTAGTATGAACCTGATTCAATACAAACACTTTATTATCTAATAGCTACAGTGTTCTTCCTGGTTTAAATAAGTAAGTAAACGATGTACATGGAAAATATAATAATATTATACAAAATGAAAAAAAAGTGTACTGTGGAATGAAATGCCTGCTATCTTTTTCACAATGAAACGATTACTTTTCTTTTTTACAATAAAGAAATTAAGAAAGCGTAGGAGGATAGTGAAAAAGGCTCTTTGCAAATTACTTGTTTTGTTCGACCTACAGTCAAAATGCCATAAATCTTATATAAATGTTCATAGAAGACTAAAAACAAAACATATTTGAGAGGCAACAAACTGCATTGGCAGGTTGAGCGCTAATGTTAGATTAGCAGAAAACATGAGCTGTACATAATATAATAGTTCAAGGGTAAGGGTTAAAGAGGGTCTAATGAAAGACGCTTATTACTGTAGGTTGGGGGTTATGGGAAATGTACGGTCCACTTTATTTTGGAGTTTGGCCCTTTCTAGTAACTGAAAGTCAGGATAACTGCTGAATCACTGTATTATCCCTCTAAATGTTCATCTATTTCTGTCGATCGCCTACTCAATTAATTGACCAATTGCTTCTTTCGTTTGCTAAAATTCAATACCTAAGGTCTTGCTACTGAACTGCTTCCCCCATACAGCATGACACAAACAACTGATAAGATCAATCTCCTTTTCCCTGTTGCATTAACATGAATATTCTGCCAGGCTCACAAAGAAAGTGTGGACATTTTGGCCTCATAAGGAGCTGTGTGAACATCAGAAAATGGCACTGATGATGATGGGAGTGAGCCAACGGCGTCTTTAAGGCGTGTTTGTGAAAAAACACTCGACCAAGCTCTTCATTATTCATGTGATCATATGGTTTATTAATGAAATCATAGCGTGGCTTTCAAGCTTCGCTCCATTAATCCTGTTGAACAAGCGGTGCGATGCTCTCTGATATTTGTCAGCTCATTTTCCAACTGCGCCTCTGTGGCACTCTCAGCTTTATAGTGTTGTGCTGGCGAGAAGTTAATTGGTTTATATTAAATGGATATTACATCGAGTTATATGTGAGCCCGAGAACATTTGCTCTAATAGTGAATGCAACCCTGCAACTCAAACAGTAGTATTTCATGTCTGATGTCACGATTTCTCCCTTCCTTGTTTGTGATTTGAAGGTCAAGTGTCCTTCACATTTAGGCATTAAGGACAAAAGACTCCACCATATTGATCTCCCATCTCAGGTATAAGACGGCTAAGCCTTGCCTTCATGCCTTTTCCCACAGGAGCACTCTAACATCATTGTGTGAGTCATGGTTCCCGAATGGACAGCAGCCAGCCCATTCAACCTGTATTGATTCCACTGATTAAAGAGCCTGTGACACGAACCCAACAACTGTTGTGCAATGAAATAGTGGGCTACTAGTAATCTCGAACCGTCAGTTTAAAAAAGAAAAAGCGATACCGTTCCGATAAATATCAATAATTTCGAACATCGCGGAGAAATTCCTTCGACTCATTTTGAGGTTTTGGGGGAAGCCGGAAGTGACGTCAATGCGGGAACGCTTCACTGTGCGGCGAGAGAGCCAAACACGGACAAAGTGTGTTGTCATGCGTAGAAATGGTGAATTACTGAGTTGAGGCACGTTAATAACGTTTTAATGAAGTTGACTACAGTATATTCATATTTGTCAGTGCTTTCATGTCAATTCGGCGAACATAAACATAAATGATCGTGGTGAAGATGATGATTAAATTAGGATTAAAAATCGGTAGTGAGAGCTGCTGAATTTCCTCCCGTCGGATGTGATATAAAAACAAATCGATTATTTTTGTAGTTGTAAACTCAAGTGGATGAAACTACATTTATTAGTGCTTTCATGTCAATTCGGCGAACATATGATACATTAAATGATCGTGAGGAGGATGATTTAAAATCATCCTCACGATTGTTTTTAAAACAAACCGATGCTTTTTGTAGTTGTAGTACACCAACATGGATTAAACGTGTGGTTTTTTTACCACAATATTGGGGAAATTAA